AAATCTCAGGTATTCAATAGATTTAATCATTTACAATTAAATTGTTGTTCTAAAAAAAAGAGAAGCAAAAATTTAAATTGTAAAAAAAAATTTTCGAAATTAAGCTCTGAGTCTCCCTCTATCGGTCGATTTTGTCAAAGTAAAAACTTTTCTTTTTCTTGAAAGTTTTGTTTTTCTTTTACTATTATTACTCATTAATAAGATTAAATCTCAACAATAGTAATTAAAAAGTAAAACTGATTAGCGTTTCTTATCATTTAGATTAATTGATGATAAACGTATCGATTTAATTGTTTGGAAAAGAAAAATTCTATTCAGTTTGTTTTTGTATTTTCTTTTTCTTTTTCTATTTCCTTTTCCTTTTTATCACATCTCTGAGGTTCTCTATCTTTCTTCCTGATGATTTTCATCCTCCTCATCATCATCACCTTCCTGTCAACATAATAGCGAGTAGTTATTGCAATTAACTGTCAACCCAACTGTCATTCATTTCTCCTCTCTCATGATCATGATCATCTTCATTTACTTTGATATATTATTAACACACATTAAATAATATAACTTATATCAATCAACTAATCAAAGAAACATGGTAACATTTAATATTATCATTATTGAAATTAAATAATATATCTTCATCATCATCGTAATCAACATCATGAAAGGTAAAACTTTCTCAGTGTTACCAATCAGAATCAATCAGCTGATTTATAAAATATTAGTTTGCTACCAAATTGTTTGCCTTAGGCAAATTTGGGTTGTTATTTTATATTTTTACTTGGGCTTCTGGTTCATTGTCATTAATTTACAATCATTTTGACACTGGGATATAGATTATCATGAAGAAAGTAAATTAGACGATAATATGGTTTAGCCTGATGATGATGATGATGAAGATAATCAATGAAAAATTGAGGCCTTAAATGGTGTTACTCATGACAAGCTTTACCTGGATGATACTTTTATCAATCTTCATCCGGTTTAATCATCATCATCATGAGGAAATCACAGTAACTGACTTACTCTCCATGTGAATCCATGTAATATGTGTATCATTTTCATCACAAACATATGAGTTTCTTGATGAACACACCTTGAAACTGGAATGAAATTTGTAACTATCAAGTTTTTTCTCAAAAAAAACACGAAATCAGAGTAACATGGAAATGCCTCAGGGGGGAAACTGAATAATTTCATTATTACTCTCATCATTTAGAAAGAGAAAGAGAGAGAGAGAGAGAGAGAGAGAGAGATAATAATGATGATGATGATGAGGAAGAAGATGAATGATGCTGACAGATAAGATGAAAAGAAAGTAAAAAAACCATGAGGATGATAATGATTATTATCTATTCTGAATGAAGTTTATCATGGAGAAAAAGTTCAATTGTAATAATATCATGATGAATATCTGACAAATAATAATAACGATACTTAATATAGTAATTGATTCAATGTAACAGAATCAATTTAAATCATGAAAAGATTAATAATCTTAATGCTCAAAGTCAAGAATATTATTTAGACTTGAACTGAATCTTGATTATCTCATAATTAACTGATTATTAATAATAGTAAATTGTTGAGCTTTTGATTTTCAAGACAAAAGTTTTCAATTAACTTTCAAATGTTAATTGTTACCAATTAATTACTCAGCCCAAAAAGTTTGTTGCTTTTGTTTTGCAAATTGATTATTATTATAATGGGTTAAACTTTAGTTCCCATTGTTGATTGTTTTGGTTTATTATTGTTGATTAAATTACTCTCCATTAATTATTCACTTAATTACAATTAATTCATTTTAATTCCTTTGAGGTGTGTATCAGTTTGTGTGCATGGAGTAAGTTTAATGAACTAGGAAAATATTGGATCAAGAAAAATGATTCTAATCATGAAGATGAGGTGGGAAAAAAAGTTCTGATAATCTATCAAATTAACGAATACACATCAATGCGATTAAAGCTTGAATTAAATTTCCACCCATGGTGTTAATTATTATCTTTCAGATAGTAAATTGAAATTTGCGTAAGGTTTCAATTGAATTACACAACTTTTGATCGTGAATTTTTGATAATGCATCGGATTGGGGAAATCTAATCTTATTATTGAGACATGCAATAGTAAAGTAGTGGATTAGATTTGGGATAATATTGTGAATACAGGACTATTCAGCTATTTTCGCCGATTTTTTTGCGATTTTCTCAGCAACTAAGAGTTAAAGAGACTCGAGACTTTAGTGGTATGAAATTGAGCGATATTCAAACGTCATATTCAAAGATCAAGGTCATTCAGGTCAATGGTAAAATAACGCGTTTCAAGGTCATTTGAAGGCATGATAACGAACTTTAAATATGACAATTGAATATCGCTCAATTTCATACCACCTTCATAGTTGCTGAGAAAATCGCAAAAAACATCGGCGAAAATAGCCCTGTAGTTAAAGGGATTGGTGGAAGCTGGTTTAATGAAGAAAACCAATCAGGAGCAATTAGTTACTATGATACTGATGATTCTGCTTACCTGAGGGCGATTTATGCTCTATTAGCAACATTGATAATCGGACGTTTACTAACTTATTACATTTTAAAATGGAAAGGAAATTTACAGAAATAGTTAGTTGTTCAAAGATATTTAATTTTAGTTTAATATTTTTCTATGATTAATAATTCTGGTGGTGGAAATGTAGATCAACAGATCAAATTGTCGAGAAAATGGTGAAATGGATGGGAAGATGATGGATATAAAAAATAAAGGAAATTGAGAAATTGTCATAATTGAGGCTAATGGTTTCACAGATTACAAATAAGATTATATAAACCAACAATGGTATTAATTATGCTCCAAAGATTTGATGGAGGACTGGAATCACAAATGAAGGTGACATTGAAATTGCTGACATTGAACACGGTGAAATTGGTGACATTGTTGATATTTTCGAAATTCGGGAAATAAAAATTACATGAATACATTGGAGGAGCATTCACCTGAAGAAATAGGTAAGCCAAAAAAATTACAAGCAACATCATCATTAGAAAATTGAATTACAAATGACATTACAATTACAATTCAAATTCAAATCTTGATCGATTAATTGACACGATTGAATCGATTGAAAAATAAACAATTAAAATTTGAAATCAATAGTTACCTTTTTTTCACCCAAATCCTTATGAAAGTGAACAAATTTTCCAATTGGAGCACATTCGCTAAATAATATGGTAATAAGCAAAACTAGAGAAACTTGAACTAATTTAGACATTTTCGAAGTCAATGAAATGAATCAAGTGAGAAAGTTTGGATCAATTTATTGAAACGGAAGATTAATATTAATCTATTTTTCTTTAGATTCTTAAACTTAAATCCTCAAAGCCCTCGAGCAATGACAAACATGCTTATCTCTTTATTTTCAAGATTCCACTCATGGTGTTGATTGTTATCTTTCAGTCATCAATTAATAACTGAATAGATTTGATTTCAATTAATTTACACAATATTCGTTTGCTGTAACATTTTGTAATAAATATCAAGAAATTCAATCAGATTTTACTAAATAATCAATGAAATATGAATTTGATATTTAATATTATCGATGGGAAATTGATGTAACGGTAGATTGATGTATGATTCATCCTCGTAGGGGTATTTAAATGAGTTTCAGACTAATGTAAAATTCAGTTATGTATCAATAGCTGACAATTGAATTTGCAAAATCAGTGATTTACTGTTGTTTGTATCAAATTGACAAGTTAATTGGGTTGATTATTTTATTTTTTTGTTGATCTTATTTTTGCTGTGTTTCGGTTTCGATTGAGATTTAGTATGTCTGTTGGTGAAGCTCGTGTTGTTGCTTTGTTTGCCCTTTTCGGGGTCACAATGTTGGCAGGATTCGGTCCCGTTTTTGGATTCAGTTTATGGAAGAAAAAACAAGAGTCGAATTTGCTTGATTCTCAAGACGAGAAACGAAAACAAAAAGCAAGAAATGATAAAATTCTACATCTCTTGTTGGTCTTTGGTGGTGATGTTCTTTTGGCTACTTGTTTTGTTCACATGATTCCCGAAATTCAGGAAAATACATTTGTACGATTTCTTCGAGGTTTGATCATCGTAGTAGCTTTTCGTTTTTGACGGAATAGCTATTGGCCTCCAAAGTACAACAACCTCCGTTTAGACCATATTCTTTGCTATTTGTCTTCATAAACTCGTAGTAGTTTTCGCCATTGGCTTCGAGCTGTTTGAGAAAACCGGTAGTATTTTATTAACGGCGATTCATGTAGCCATCTTTTCCGCCATGTCTCCCATCGGTATATCAATCATCATTGAAGATGGTCTTACGGAGGATGGTAGTTTAACACTGATTCTGTTAAACGCTGTTGCCACTCTGGTTAGCGATGGCGATTAACTGACCAATAAATTACTCAAGAAGGAAAATGACTAATTATTCAAACCACTTACAGCGTCTAATATGATCGCAAGTTAATTGGACTAAATTAACCAGAACCAATTAACTTGAACAATCAATTTTCTCTCCCTTTGAAATTTGCTCTCAAAAAAGTAAACAAATCCAACAGATAAAGGATACGATATGAAAAAAGTATCGATGTTGAATCGGCTCATCGAAATTGAAAATAAAAATATAATCAATTTTGATCATATTCTTAATTAACGATATTCTTACTTAGATATTTCCACACTTATACACTGATGCTCATACAAAGATAAGTCTCTCTCTCTCGGATAAAGTCTTCCGCAAATTGTTTGTTAATACAATTACCTTTTCTTAATTGTAGCATTGATTTAATTACAATTTAATCTTTACCTAGATTGTTATGAGTTTTGTTTTCCTCCATCCTGATTACTCGTGAATTAACATTATCCAATCAACGTGAGATTTATTTACTTTTGATTGTTTTAAATTGTTTCATTTTGATCAATCTGGACTATTGTTATAATAACGAATTAACTATTGTTATTGATAATCAATTGAATTTCAGATAATCAAATACAGTTAAAGATTAAAAAAATTTATTAGTAAACAGTAGATAGAACTGGATACAATATTGTGAATAAAATCGATTCGGATGGACATCAGATTAGTTGAGCGGTATGCATGAACCTTTAACGATTTCACATTCGTCCGATTTTGGTGCGGAGTAAAAGACGTAAGTACATTCCTCTGTTAACAACTGTGAGCAATTAAGAATTTTAAGTTAGATTAATTAGATTATAATAAGTAATTATTAGAATAGGTAAGAAATTTGAAGAAAAGAATATTTGATAAACACTTACTTCTGTTTGGACTTTACATTCTTCTGAATAAGGTTTGGTTTTTAGACAATTAGACATATCAATTTCGAAGATGATTTCGTAGGTGGCTCCATTATCTGTTTTGGATTTCGCACTTTTAATATCGACAAGTTTCCGGTAATAAAAACTCTTGGAATTGAGATTATAATGAGCAACCCCTTTCTTGGCCAATTCGATGGCTTTGTGGCCATCGTTTGCCATAGCGTTCCATTCACCGAGTTTGGCCATTGTGAGACCGACTAGAGTGAGGATGATAACGAATTTCATTTTTATTAAGATGATTTAAAAAGGTACAAATGTAATAACTGTTAACTGTTTAAATTACTGATGAGAACTGGATTGATTGTTGATCACAGTTGACATTGGATATTTAAAGGATTTTCTGGTTAACACGTTGTCAATCAAAATCTCCATCTTTGGACAATCCATCTGATTCTTTATCATTTTGATCATCAATAGTTGATAATTGTAATTGTATTGTTTGTAATTGTAGTTAACTGTTTACATATGTACAGCTAATGAAGGGAAAGTACCAATAATATCAATCCAGATAAATAATCAAGGTACTTAATTGGTTCATTCTTTATTACAATTGTAGTTGGAATATTGATTAACCAAATAAGGGAATTGATAGCTGATTGTTTCTCAATTAATCAAAAATAATCAGTAACTCATAAGATTAAGTAAATGATAGATAAATGAATGATAAATGTCAATGTTCAATCCGTTAACTCCGTTAATTGTTAATTAATGTCCCCGCTGGATATTAAATCAAAATCAAATCAAATCTCATAAATCAAATTCATTCAATAGGTTTAATTGTTTACAATTAACTTGTATTTATTAAAAAAAAAGAGAAACAAAAATTTATTTCGAATTTAATTTAATAATTTAAGTTTTGGATCTTTCTCTGTCTCTGTTAATTATATCAATCAATATATTCTGATGGAATCCAATTAATGAATTGAAATGTGATTCTTGTTTAATCATGAAATTTTCAAAAGTTTACAAGGTTCAATCTTTTTCTCTCTCATGTTGAATGAATATTCTGAATTATTTTCAACTTACTTTCATCAAATTGTTTCAATCTTGTTGTGAAAATGATTAGATGATTGTTACGATTACTACTACTTTCCATTATTTCCACTCGATAAAATCAATCTAATTTAACTCTTACTACAATTTCATCTGATTCATTGATTTCTCCGTGTTTTTATCGTAACAAAATTCTGAAATAATCATGATTCTCATCTTCTCTAATATGTTCATGATGTTTACTTTTATTTTCCTCCTTTTCTTTATTTCCTTCCATTATTATTATTATTATTATTTTCTCATCATGTAATATATTCAATTCTCACTTTCTTTTTTATGTTCCAAGTTTGTTCAGAATTTTTCTCCATCAATAATCCTTGAAATCCTCGAAATCATCATGATCGTTGTTCAGCAATTACGAAATTAAAATTTCCATAAGAAAACTAAATTCTAATAACAATCTAAATGTAATCTAAATCACAATTAGTCTAATTATCTTGCTAATAAAAAGAAAAGCAAAAAGTTGATTGAAAATCGTAAGAACCTAAAATTCTGGCTCTCAATCTGATTGAAATCTATTCTCTCATCATAATGATAATGATATCAAGATATTATCAATTCTGTATCTAATCACTGATCATGATGATATCTAGATGAAAAAAAAAAACAATTACCATTGGACAATAAGTAATAATATTATCAATGGACATTGTCCAGATAATTGTCAGATCAATTGTTTGTCTTTAATGATGGACAAAGCTGTTGTTATTATCACACTTAAGTGTAACATTGTTGTTGACACTTTTTTGTCCATCTCCATGTTACATGAAAGTCACTATTGTTTCATCATCATCAATGTTATCATCAGCTGAGAATTGATCTAAATGATAATATTAACACTAATAAACTGGATGATAATAATAATAAAAAGATTGATAAGATTACCTCAAGCCGATTCTCATTTTTCCCTATCAAACCAATCGTAATCATCACTTTCATTATATTAATAATAACATTTTAACATGACATTGAATCCATGAAATGACCATTGGTCAGATAAAAATATTGAATTACAATCAGAAGTAACATTTATCCTGTCAGTCAATCAATTTGACTCCGTTTGTGATCATATTCTGACAATTAACATGGCCAGTAAATGTCTCGTAATTTTGATTGAAACTTTTAATCAACTTTCAATGATCATCATGATTATTACGATTCATATATTTTGATTCATTTCTTTTGTTCAGTCCTGATATACAGTCTCGTCCATGCGATTCATGCTAATTATATCTTATCGTTATTAATAGTTTGAGAATGGATATGGTTTCAATCAGTTTTCACAACTTTTGTTCGCGAATTTTTGATAATAATTGGTTGGATTCCAGATAATCAAATGCAGATAGAAATCAGAGAGCCTTTAATAATAGAAAATAGTGGATGGGATTTGAGACAATAATGTGATTTGATGGACATCAGATTAGGCGATTGGCTCACATGAACCTCGAACAACTTGCTCTTCGTCCGCACCAGTTTGTAAGTAGAAGATGTAAATACATTCGTCCATTACTTGTAAGTAATTAAGAGTTTAAGGTTAATTAGATTCGAATTGTTAGAATAAGTAAATTATTTGAAGAAAATAAAGATTATACTTACATTTGCTAAAAGTTCACATTCATCCGAATAAACGTCGGACTTTCAGCATTTATTGACTCAAATGTCGAAGATAATTTCTTAGTTGACTCCAATGGCTGCTTTAGACTTCGCACTTTTAATAGCGACAAGTTTCTTGAAGTAAAGACTATTTGAAACTTCGTTACATATTGTATGATGAGCAGGCCATCTCTCGGCCAATTCGATGGATTTGTGGCCATCGTTTGCAATATTGTTCCATGCACCAAGTTTGGCCATGGTGAGACCGACAAGAGCGAGGATAATAGCGAATTTCATTATGATAATGATATTGAAACAAAAAAGAAGTGTAATTAACTGTTTAAATTATTGACGAGAACTGGAATTGTTGATAACTTTTGACATTAAATATTTAAAGGATCTCATGCTCAACACTTTGTCACCAATATCTCCATTTCTGGACAATTCATCTGATTGTTTATCATGGCGATAATCAATAATTGTTTAAAGTAATTGTATACAACTAGCTAAGGGGAAATACCAAGATAATCAGTACAGATAAATAATCTAACAATCAATGTAGCTGATTGTTTGTTTCACTTGCTTATTACAACGTTGATGGAAACTGTAATTGTCTAAGGTAATCTTTAACTGATTGTGTTCTTAATTCACCAAATTAACCATTCTAACACAGGAATTTCAATAACAATTAATAAATTGAGTAAACAATCAAAGCACCGGATCATAATTAACAAACAATTAATCAAAATATTCTGATAATGTTAAACTTTTCATACTGTTTTCAAGACCTTGAACCTGAGTACAAGAATAAATGTAAATTTATACCATAATAATTTCTAGATGGTAACTGTAAATTCAAAGAAACCTGATGAAAGTCATCATGATAATTACGATTATTGAAAATAAGTGAATTCAAACTTATACAATATCCATGTCACCAGCTGATTGTTCAATGTCAATGTCAATGTCAAAGTTTCATTGAATTTTCTCATCTCATTATTTTTTTTACACTTCTTCATCTCTTGCTATTGATTCCTTAGTTTTCATTTATATCCTTATCTTTGAATCCCTGAACTTGAACGTTGCTCATCGTCAAGTGAAAATGAAGTTCATGGAACCATGAAGACAGGGGACAAAAACCTTGAGAGTGCAAAGGAAAATATTGTTACCCACCACTTGGTAACTTTTACTTTCACCTCTTCCCTTTTCCCTCCCATCATCATGTCACTCAAACTTTTTTTTCTCCTTCATGGTGATGATGATGAACCAAAGAAGATGATGATCATGTTGCAGTATTGAAGATTGTATTTGTATCTTCAAAGTTTATCATCTTTTCCTTTCATCTTCCTGCTTATCATCATCTGCATATTACACATTTATATGTATATTACAATATCACCTTTTTATGTGTGTGTCTCTCTCTCTCTCCTTCATATTATTTTGCAAAAGATTTTGTTCATCCTCATCATCTTCTGATTTATCATCTTTCACAACTTTTCTTATCAGAATAACAAAGTTACTTTTTATGTTACTTCTGGTTTCTGGAAGTTCAGATTATTTCATGATATGCAGGCAATAAGGGAAGAGGAGAAAGACAAGAGATGATGAAAAGATGATGATGATTTTGTATAACAGAAGAAACTTTGAGAGAGAAGAAAAAATCGAATACGAAAAATTCGAAGAGAAGAAAAAGAGAAAAGTGATCTTCCATGATGATGATGATCTTCAATCACATTTGACATTCATCCTTCTCGATAACAATGTCTGCCTTTATTATCCTCATCTTCCTATTATAATATCAACTTGATTCTGGTTTTGACCAAAGGTAATGTTATCTCATTTTCACATAATATCTGAGGCTGGAAATTGAATTGAGTCAAATGATGGTGATGATAAGTGGGTATGCAAAAGATAATAATAATGATCTACTCTCTCTCCTTCTCTTAGTTCTGTCTCAATTTAACTCACAATTGTCAGTTGTTTTCATGTTATATTCAAAATGATGTAATATCTTCGTGAAGGTTTGTCCATGATTGTTGAATCAATGAAAGAATCAAAATCGGAATGAAATAGGAATTATTTAATTGTCTTCATGAAAGTAAAACTAACGAGGGAGAAATAAAGAGAGAAAGAGAGAGAAAGAGAGAGAGAGATTGAAGAGGCAAATGGAGGTGGAATTATAATCAACCGAGAGCAATATTGTTATGTAAGGTATTCATCTTTATGTCAACAACAGATTCTACTTGAATGAGTGGTTATGGTGGGTATGCATTTAATGTATGTTTAAGGAGTATCTTCAAAATGAATACCTAAGGATAAGTACAGATTGTTGAAAATTATTCTCAGTCATCAGATGATAATGACTGTTGTGGGTGTGATGATAATGGTTAGGCTAATGTGGTAAAAATAGTTTAATGGTAAATAAAAAAAAAAGTTTCACCAATTATCATCTGAATAAACATGAAATCATCATGAAAATTTTCATTTTTGTTTATAAATATTTCTCAAAAACAGGAAATTTCAAAAGGAAAACAAAATTATTTTTATTCTCATTTCCTGGTTTCCAACAAAAAAAGAGATAAACTTTCAACATTTGTCCAGTTCTAATGTGTTTCTTAATGTCCAAGTTTATCATGAATTTTGTCCAGAACTTTACACTAACATGGAAAAATTTT